TTTTCAATGGTCCTGTGGGTGTGAAAAGTGAATTAAAACTTATTGACATATTCCATGTAATCTCTCAATTAATATGATCTTATGAAAACCACGTGTAATAATGTCAATAATAGTGATCAAATAATTAGACTCAATCACTAGTGGTCACAAGGCACTGAATTCTCTCGAATTTTTAAACACCAGTTTGAGCGTGTGATGAATTACCTAATGTAATAAAGATAAAGCCTCAAGCACACACTCACTCTGTGGATCAGATAGTGTTTTAGACTGCTTAGTTGACTTTGGACTGGTTTCGTAAACTGTAAATAGCTAATGTGGCCTAATGTGAGGTAAAAGTGGGCAGACTCGTAGGTAGGATCCAGCTCTTGAGGTCAAAGGTCACAGTATCTTAAGCTGATTTAATAACACACTACAAATTTTATACTATACTGTGTTACTATAATAATTATCGTTATTATTAACTATATTATTAACTGTATTACATAAATATTAACTTTATCCAAAAGGTATTATTTGCATTGATTTTTCTCTGTGTCTAGGTGGCGCTCAAGAAGACACCGCTATATGAATTCCACAGGGCTCAGGGTGGTAAGATGGTGGAGTTTGCAGGATGGAGTATGCCTGTGCAGTACAAAGACAGTCACATTAACTCACACATGCACACACGACAGCACTGCTCCATCTTCGATGTCAGTCACATGCTGCAGGTCAGTGTGTAGACATTTAATGTACTGTATGTAGACCAATTCATATGGTTTGTTTTGATCCAATACATGTTTTAAAAATTAAGTAAAAGATCAGCTTAAAATGCCACATCTGACCTACAATATTGGCTATTCATTATTTTGAGACAGTAGTGTGAGGTGTGTCTAATGAATATTTGCCGTTTTCTCCTCATAGACTAAAGTCTATGGTAGAGACAGAGTGAAGTTCATAGAGTCTCTGATTGTTGGAGACATTGCTGAACTAAAAGACAACCAGGTAAGACACACAGAGTGTTCTAATAATTGTTAACTTTAGTAAAAAATAGAAATAAAAAAAGAAGCAATCTTTAGTCATCCAAAATTATTATTTTTTTTCCTAGGGCACTCTCTCCCTCTTCACAAACACTAAAGGAGGAATCATGGATGATCTGATAGTGACCAAGACAGACCAGGGTTACCTGTATGTTGTCTCCAATGCTGGCTGTGCGGACAAAGACTCTGCTCATATGCAGGCCAGTACAGTTAATGATCATTAAACATATTCATTTACTTGATTCTGATTGGTTGATCAGGGCATTCAAATATTTTTCTATAATGACTGTGAAAATTGTGAAAATATCTGCCTTGTTGGCAGAGGCTATTTACACTAGCTCCACCCACAAACGTGTGATAGGGCTGGTCAACATTATAAAAGACTGTTATCAATTGTTAGCTCTAGTGGCGTAGATGGTAACGCGTGTAACGTAGTCTTTTTTTGGTGCGATCGACCCGGGTTCGAATCCGCCTTTTGCCTAACTTTTTTTTCTCCCTTTTCAAATCTCATATCACATTGGAAAGACATTTATTTTCAATAAAAATGAAGGAAATAATTAAAAAGTTGAAAATAAGGTATCGGGTAGGTGAAGGGAGGGCTTTATTGTCCCAATAAGGTGGCATCCATTTAATAATTTGAATTAAAATTATAATTTACACAATACGTTATTATTGCATATTATTGCATTATAATGTACTATAATACTGAGGTGCAGATAATTGCCACTATTTGCAATTAGTATAAATAGCAGAAAATCCTGCTATTTTAACATAGTGTAAATAGAATCTCGCTATTTGCACTTAGTGTAAAAAGCATATTGTTAAAAATACTGCTATTTTCACTTAGTGTAAATAGCATCCATCACTATTTGCGCTTAGTGTAAATAGCATCTATCGCTAAGAAAATATGCTATTTTCACTTGGTGCAAATAGCATCTAATTGCTATTTACACTTAGTGTAAATAGCCTTTATCGCTATTTTTTACACTTAGTGCAAATAGCCTGCCAAAATATTAACCCCCTTAAACACCACAAGGGGGCGTCAAAATTCCTTAACATTTTTCATTTCCATTTTTTTCTGATTTTTTAATGCCGTCAGTCTGTTTATAATTTTTATTTGTATATATTTATTTGCTTACACATGTGTTTGCTCAGATGTATTTGTGTTTGTTTGTAGGCCAGACTGCAGGAGTTTAAAGCAGCAGGTCATGATGTAGATTTGGAGTTCATGGACGAAAGTCTTATTGCTCTGCAGGGTAAGTCATGGGTCTGTGGTATTCTTGCATTGTAATACTGCCCACATTCCTGTTTTATATTTTTAGAATACATTGGTGTATGCGTGTTATTTAAATGTATTATGTAAATTTTTGGGGCATTCGATTCAGCATTGATTATATGTTTATTCATGTTGAATGCAGGCCCATCAATGGCCCAGGTTCTGCAGAAAGGTGTGGGTGATGACCTCAGGAAGCTGACCTTTATGACCAGTGTTTTGACCCCAGTGTTTGGCATTCAGGGCTGTAGGGTCACGCGCTGCGGATATACAGGGGAGGATGGAGTTGAGGTGGGTGTGATCTCCTTCTGACTGTATGACAACTATACTGAAATTATTTACTATTGTCCAAAAGTTTGAGGTTTTTAAATAAATTAATACTTTTATTTAACAAAGATGCATTCAACTGGTCAAAAGTGACAGTAAAGACATTTATAATATTACAAAAGATTTCTATTTCAAATGAATGCTGTTTGTTTACAGTTTCTATTCATCAAAAAAAAAAATCTATCATGGTTTCCACAAAAATATTAACCAGCTCAACTGTTTTCAACATTGATAATAAACTTAAAGGTTTCTTGAGCCCCAAATCAGCATATTAGAATGATTTCTGAAGGATCATGTGACACTGAAGACTAGAATAATTCAGCTTTGCCACCACAGGAATAAATATAAAACAGTTATTTTAAATTGTACTAATTGTTCACAATATTACTGTTTTTACTGTATTTTGATCAAATAAATGCAGCCTTGGTGATTATAAGAGACTTTCTTTTAAAAATATAAAAAATCTTAGATTCTAAACTTTTGTGTCTCATGACTATTAGAAATTATTAGAGGCACAAATCTCATTTTTATTTACAGTGTAAGAACTGTTAGAAATGTCTGATAGATTAATTATCTATTATCTAATAACAAAATTAAACTAGCTAGTTTTAAACACTTTCGTTTTGGGGGGTTGGTTATTGTTTGTTTTTTGGCATGTCTGTAAAGTTTATGTTCTTGTATTTTCTTTATTTATGATTTATTCAGATCTCAGTACCAAGTGGAGACATTGTCTCACTGACTGAAAAGTTGTTAGCCGATAGTGAGGTGAAACTCGCTGGTCTCGGTGCCAGAGACAGTCTCAGGCTGGAGGCGGGACTTTGTCTCTATGGCAACGACATTGATGAGACCACCACACCTGTGGAAGCAAGTCTTGTTTGGACTATAGGTGCGTCAAGACTTTTATTATCATATCCCATGCATGTTTATTTAATGCTAATGTATTTGTGTGTGTGTTAAGGTAAGCGCCGTCGACAGGCACGAGATTTTCCCGGTGCTGACATCATTGTTCCACAAATAAAGGCAAAAACTCAGAGAAAGAGAGTGGGACTGATCTCCACTGGACCACCTGTCAGACAGCACACACCAATCCTGTCATCTGACGGCAGGGTTATAGGTAACAAACGCATGTGTGTTTAAAGGAATGGTTTAAAATCATCATCATTTATTCACCGTCATGTCATTCTGAACCTGTATGATTTTCTTTCCCACCCACATTATTTTAGGTGAGGTCACCAGTGGATGCCCCTCCCCCTGCCTCAAACAAAATGTTGCCATGGGCTACGTGGAAGCTGCCTTCAGTAAAGTGGGCACATCAATGCAGGTGGAAGTGAGGAAGAAAGAAGTGCCAGCAGTGGTCAGCAAGATGCCATTCGTGCCCACCAAGTACTACATGGGCCAGTAGACCTACTGATCATAAAATCATCTGTGTTTACAAGAGGGTCTGTTGAAGACCTGTCTGGTAGTATTTAGTAGTGGAGGTCACTGCCACTGGATTGCCGCTGGAATGGAGACCAACATTAGAGATTACGCAAAGCCTGAGACACGCGCCAACATTGAGCATTCCATAATGCAAACTATAAACACAAACATAATTTACTTCCATTTAAATTACATTCCAGGACATTCTGTAATAATTGCACAACATTTTGGCCACTTCACTTGAAATTCAAATCAAATGGAATTTCAGGATGTGGGAAAGGACCACTTGCTGTTTCTGTGTGTGTGTCTAACATAGAGCACTTAAAATGTTAGTTTGAGTGTGGGAAGGTGACATCTGTTTTAAAGACTACTGACTGAGATTCCTTTAATAAGTTTGCCACACATCTGGCTCATTTTATGCCAGTGTACTGTTTTAGTGTCATAGCTTTATGATGTACAATGATAAAATAATGAACAAAGCCAATCTGAATGAGATAAACTATATTAGAAAAGTGCCTAATTTCTTTGAGTAGGTTGTCAAGCTGTAGTATTATTAATGTCATTAACTTTAGACCACATCACTCTGAAGTCTTTCGGTTTGAAAGAACATTTCCATTTTTGTTTCTTTTTGGAATGTGGTAGGATAATTAAATTTATTCTATATAATTTTATAAACTTACTTGATTGGTTGCCCCCCACCTCATCCTCCCCCTCTTTTTA